TGACTTCCTGAGTTTATTATTCTCGAGTTTTTTTCCGTTGCATTTATTTTAGTTTAGTGTGATGGAATTTGAAGAAGGTTAAGGGAAATAGCGAGTTGAAGTTTTCTTAATTTTTCACAGTACTGAAAGCACAGGCACTAGCTTAACCGCAGGTACGCGGGCTTCTTTCGATCTTGTACCGCTGCATGGGGCAGTTTCGAAAATTACAGCTCATCAGTGGCTTTTCAACGTTCTATATGCGTTTTCGGGCATATGAACTCCAAGAAACTTGCTGCCCAGGGAAAATTGATGCACGAAATTTGACCGAATTCTTTGAAACAAACTTTTTCAGGAAGTTGTCACGAATATTTTAACCGACCTTCATCAGCTACTGCCAGCAGGCAATCAGTGGTATGCAAATACCTAATAGATGGCTGCTGCTGTTGTGTGTTCAATTAAACAACGCCGCGCATAAAAATGCTTTACTAAATTTAAGGCGTCTGATGTCTTGTGACTGATGATAAAATGATGAATAGACCAAAAACGCGAAGTGGATTTGGTGAATAACCATTGGCATTCAACAGTAAATGCTGTAGGGAAGCAAACTTGACTTTGTCCGCACAAAAACCGTTATTCGCGTTAAAAGAAAAAAACAAGGAGAGGATTTTAAGCCACTGCTGGTGTTGGTGGTCCAAAAAGTGATTCTGTTGATTTGAACTTTACTTTTTAAGAAGAAGCTGATGAAAAGACCTATTATTATTAGAATAGCAGGATAAAATCCAGGACAAAAACCTATTTTCAACTATCGGTAGGCTTAGAAAATGGTGGTCTTAAGTCATTGTATTTGTAGCATTTTATTTTTCACGGTCTGTTAGAACTGCTCACAGGAAAATGTTTCTTGCAACCCGGCGCTATTGAATAAGCACACTTCAAATCAGAAGAATCATTACGGAAATTGAGATTTTAATTTCTTTCAGAAGTCACGCCTGTTTAAACATTTTTAACATGATACTTCGCTATAATGGCAAGAGTTTCAGAAAAAAAGTAGACCAAAGGCTAAAAAATAGCAATATTCTGTACGCAGATTCTGGAAGAATATAAACGGAGATTTCTAAGCTGACACGTGGAGGAGTAGGCCTAATAAGCATGCACTACTAAAAGTGCTCCCTGTATCCGGTCTGCGATAATGTTTCCGCGGCCCAGTTTATTTGCTCCCCATTTACCTTCTACTCTGTCTAAGCTGAGATTTAACTTCCACTGCTGTTCAGCCAATAAGCCAACTGCACTGCTTTCCTCTCCTCTTGTCGTTTTGAAAAGTATTTATTAATTTTTGGTTGAACTTGAAACCAATTGGCAAAACTAAAAACGGTAAAACTCTTTAATACTATGCTGGCTAAGCACAGATATATATTTTCAGGAGCAAGAGTACTAGCTGGGTAAAGCACACCAACATGTAGCATAGTTGGCGGAGCGATTCTTTCCTCCCTTCCCTTGTGAATGCAAAAAGCTCTTGCGATTGAATAGAGTTAAGTGTATTTTTGATACAATATGTAGTCCCAAGATTGTTGGAGAACTGTCCACCGCAAATGGTCTTCTTCATCTTCGGACAATAATAATAAGACGCTTTTTTATTTGGCTGAACAATGGCCCTTAATTTACGAGATGATTTATGTCATTAACTAGTCTATTAAGAAGAGGAGGGCGTCTTTGGGAAAGTTGAAACTTTAATGCATAAATTTTCGAGACTGAGCTCAGTTGCCTTATAAATTACGTGCTGAGGTATAGGGCATATTTATGCAGGCCTGTATGCTTAGAGGTAACGAGCTTGGAGGCCTGTAGGTATATAACGTAAACTCTACAGTTTATAATGTCAGTTTTCACTGAACGGGTCCAAGCAAAGTCTTGGTATTAGTATATGAAGTGCGAGGTGTACTTTCATTTTAGCGAACAGATAGTAGATGTAAGGACTAAGTGAAAAATAGTACCGGTAATCGCAATTAAAGTATTAAAACCACGCTAATTCATTTTTGAATGGGTAAAATTCAAAAGAACTTTGCAAGGCTGGCCAATCCTACTCAGTGCAAAAAAATTTACAACAATACAGTAAAAACCCAACAATGGCCTTCCATTTATGTATACCCTCTACAAATATGCCTCTCATGGTAAGACACCAGAATAGATCTTCCTCTAATACAAATGATCTTTTACGAAATTCTAGAATGAGTCCGAACCTTAACTACGACACGAACCCTGCCTAACTTTAACCTTAATTATAACCTTAAACTTAATCGCAACCCTAAGGATAATCACAAAACTCGCCCTAAGGCTATCATTTACCCTACCTTGATCCACTTCCTCGCCGTAATCCGTGCCCTAAATATAAGGTCTTTGGAATTTGGCGCGAGGATAGCTGCATTATTGTAAAGAATTATATTATCACCCTCAACTCCCTCCGGGGTGGTGAATAAGAATATCGTACGTGTCTTTAAAGTTTTACGTGCTAAACGTCCGTGTTCTGTTCCTCATCACAGTCCTGGCAGGGATCATTGCATATTCCAGCGCACAAATACACCGGTCTAAAAAAACCTGATAGGCAGAGCGCCAGTCGACAAGTTCAAAGCAGTCTGAAAGCTCATGAAACCTGCAATCTAAAACTGTGCTACTTTTAGGTCGAGGAAGCTGCGGTCAGAAATAAGGAATGCAGTAGAGGAAAATTAATCTTATTAAATGAAAATAGAAAACGAATGTAGACATTTTCCGTCAAGGCAGAGTGCGATCTACCTTAACTGAGTGCAGGCGGGTGGTCCAACTTGATTTTGACCACTCACACCATTTACCTAACCGCCCACCTACGGATGCTAAAAATCCCTTAAGGGAAATCTTAGGAACAGTTAAAACTTTATAGATATATAAATGGTTCATTTGAAGTATTTTGCAAAAACTGAAGCCAACGGTTCCTCTAGGTAAATAATATGCTATTACTTTACATTTTAGTTGGCACAACTTCCTGAGAGACTCGGGCAAAATCGGTCATAAAATGTGGTTATCGAAAACATAACGATTACGTTAACAAAAAACTTTAGGCAATCCGAAGTGTCTGTGAGGCGTCTTTTGCCAAGTCACTGAAACTGCCGCACATGCTCCAAGAGTATTTTGGACGCAACCTCTGCACAAATGTAATGCTCTTTTGACAGTGACATGGACTTCACATATTAAACCAGAGTGTTGCTGTTCCTTGAAAAACAAAGCTTGATCACTTTTTTTCTCAAAACTTAATTTTGAGGTGAGAATTCAGTAGCGAGTTGAACTAAAGTCCGGATAGTTAAATACTTAAGAAAAGCAATTGATACTGGACGATCTGGATGAGAGTATTGATAAATAGGGCCTCGGCAGTATATAAGGATTTCATGGCATATGCAGTACAGTCGGTATTTCGTGTAAAATACCGGAATTTGCGCAAGATTGATAATCACTAGCAAAACGGCATTAAGTAGGGTTGTAATACTGATTATCGTGCAGCCTAATGTGAGTTCATAAAATCACATTAAGATGCTGGCTTTTAAACGAGCTTCTTTCTGACAACTTAGGAAAAGTTTATTCTGTCAAAATGGCTGCTTAAGTCGTATACCTTTAGGTCATTGATTTTCACTGCCCTTATAAATTCAAATGCATTCTGTAGAAAATATTTATCAAAGTATTCTTTCTTCTACTCGTTTGTTAGCAAATTACGCCTTCTTCAAATTTTATGCATTAAGGAAGCTTATATTTTGGTTTTACAAAAATTTAGTTGACCCAGTTGTGAAAAAACTCGCGGCATTCGGCGGAATT